TTCATCCTGCTGAGATTTGCAATTAAGCAAGAAAGAAGCCATCTTGGTATCTGCAAAACCCAATCTAAACCATGTTTCCAGTCAAACAGAATGGTTGCTGTTGTTCAAAGTAAAAGGAGTGTCAACAGGATATAATAGAAAATAATAAAAATGCTTCTGTTTGCAGTATCATAAAACATTGGGTAACAGTTATTTTGAGGATTTTTTAAAAAGTTGATTATTATAGTCTGCACATTTTTCTTTATGAATAAGTTGAATGCCACCCACCATTTGCTGGTTATGCTGCTATGTATCATTGACATTTTACAGGTCTTTATCGATCATTTAAAAAATCCTTTGCATTGTTTTTCTTTCTTTGCTCTGCTTTTTCTTGAGAATTAACAGTTTATAGCCTCTGCATTTTAAAAATTAATAACTAGTTATGTACCATCAAGTTGATTATGTTGCCTAAATCCAACATCACCTTGGCCCTGGCGACATATAATTTGGATTTTTGGACTCAGATTTAAAAATGGGCATGAATTGCTTCATGCTAGGTTGTCTCAAGTCATCGGCGTGGCACCCCAGGGACTGCGTGTTTTCTTCCCCCGCCCTGATCACTGGCCAGCTTCCCCAATCACAAGCTGGCTCATGCTGCTCATTCCCTCCTCGCACCATGATCTAGTCTCATCAGGAGCATGGACTTTCCTTTTCTGCCACCTCCAGCAGCTGGCCACTCAAAGCCCACTCCTCGCCTGAGTGGGCAGCTGCTGGAGGAGGCGAGAATAGAAGTCTGTGCTCCTGCCAGGACTGAAAGATTGTGTGACGAGGAGGGAACGAGTAGCCCCCACCAAACTATGAGGGGGGGAACATGCAGCACCTGGAATGCCATGCCCACAACTTAGGACAACCCGGTATGAAGTGATTCATGCTCATCTCTACTCACATTCTCATGTTCTTGTTTGTTTATGCTCTTCCCCACCCCTACCTTTTTTGGTTTTCCAGTCCTACACAATTCTTTCCTTTCCTTTTTGAAACAGACCTTTGTTGATGCATTGACATTTCTGGGAACCATCGTTGGCTGGAAATCTGTATTTGGAACCATGGTTCAATCCAAAGAGAAGGGAGTAGTGTGTGCATATATAGAGCATTAGTATGTTAGACAATTCTAGAATAATGGATTTGGAAGGGGGCTATAAGGCCATTAAGTCCAACCCTCCCCCACTCAATGCAGGTATCCAAATCAGTACAATCTAACAGATGGTTATGTAATTTTCTCTTGGATGCCTCCAGAGTCGGGAGTGCCCAAGGTAATTGGTTCCATTGCACCAATTGTTGGGAGATTTTTCCTGATATTCAGCTGAAATCTGGCTTCCTGTAACTTGAGCCCATTATTACATATCCTGTGGTCTGGGATGATCAAGAACACATCTTACCCCTGCTCTGTATGACAATCTTGCAAGTCTGCTATCATATCTTCCCTCACTCAAGGCTAAACATGCCTAGTTCTTTCAGTTTTTCTTCAAAAAGTTTGTTTTTCAATCCCCTGGTCATCCTTGCTGCCTTCTGAAGTTGTTCCTTCTTAAGTTGTCTGCATCCTTCTTAAAACACAGTGTCCAGAACTAACCTTCTTTAGAGGATTAGGTAGCTTTACACATTGATTTCAGCTCAGACAACCTTTAAGATCGACTCATCCATTCTTCCTAAAAATAAGCCACTTTAAAAAACTTTTTCCTATATAAATGTCTGATTTTGCTGCTTCATAGTTTGTACAATCCTAGTCGTAAGATCGAATCCACGCAACGGAGTGAGCTCCCATCGCTTTGTCCCAGCTCCTCGCCAACCTAGCAGTTCGAAAGCATGTAAATGCGAGTAGATAAATAGGTACCATCTCGGTGGGAAGGTAAAACGGCGTTCCCTAGTCACGCTGGCCACGTGACAACAAAAACTGTCTTTGGACAGGTGCTGGCTCTATGGCTTGAAAAGCGGGATGAGTGCCGCCCCCTATAGTCGGACACGACTGGACTGAAAATGTCAAGGGGAACCTTTACCTTTATACCCAGTTACTGGGAAGACTAGTTTCCTTTGATCAAGTGCTTTTGGGTAATATGTGTAAGATTTTCTGGTAAATCTAAATTCTTGGCTTGATTTTCATCCTGGCTGAATTCAGTTTTGTGGTAAAGTATACAGTATATAGTGTACCAGAATGGCCAGCATTGTGAACTAGCAGCAACAGCTGCTGCCCACCTTAATTGAAATTCTCTCTCACTAGGAGATCTGCGTTTTCTCTGCTATAAATTTAAAGCGATTCTAGTTCTGAGATTTATTAATGAGACATTGTTCCCAACTTGGCTTGAATCTAATTCACTTTCATATGTAATGGATGATGTTACTCTAATATTTGCATGGGTTCAGTTAGCTCCTGCTGAAAGGGAAGTTATCCTCATTGCATTGCAGTGAAAGCATCCATTATTGCTGCTGTAAATGACTCAAGCCATGGGGACATGTCTTGTGTTTGATGATGAGCCCAGTGAAGGCACTCGATAACTGCTAGGAGATATTTGGAGTGAAATAAATATGAATTAGTGATTCATAGTTTGCCTTGCACTCTGCATCAACGAGGGGTGTTGTCTCTGTCAGGGAATGATGCCTAACTTCTCTTGCCATGTAACTCACCTGCCTCGAGATTAAGAAATGGTTTTTTATTGAATAAGCTTGGGAACAAGATAAATGTCCTTCTGTTTTGTGTGTGTGTGTATGTGTGGAAAGGATTAGATACCTGCTTTTGCAATGAGCCCTTTAAAAAAAAAACTATATTCGGTTCAACCAAGAGGAATGCATTTATATCCTGTGTCTAAAAAGCAATACAGTGGTGAAATATTTCTCCTTAATTTTGGTCAGAAGGAAGAAAAGTGTCTGTGTTTATTCCTGCCTAATGCATCACAAATCTGCTGACATGCTAACCTTGGAGTCTTGGTTGGCGTTAATCAGGCCTATGCACCGGCAGGAAAGATGTACCTAATGCACTCCATCAGTGCAGTTTGCATATGGAAGTTCTCACAGGGGAGCTGCCCTGTGCCAGCTGAGGGTTACCTGCCCACTGCCGTTATTGTATGTAATTATCGAACCAATCTGTTCAGCCCAGCAGGGTTTAGATGGTAATCATGAAGCAACACTTTAGAAAGATGTAATGCACTCTCCCCTTCTCTCTCAGCAATGTGAGGTTCGGCAGCTATTTCAAGTCAAGCTACATGTGTGTCAAACTTGGTCGGGGGTGTGTGTGTGCCCAAGCTAAACTTTCATCCGTTATTTTTCTGCCTATAGGCTGGGTTGGGGATGGGAGCCCCCAAATATACCGGAAAGTCAACACTTCTTGGGAAAGGATGGGCACTTCTAAACATTTTTTGTCAGTTCTTTGATTTATTTTTTTTTAAGAATATGCATGACTTTATATATCTTTCTTTGCCCTAGGAGCAGAGCTGGGGAGAAGTAATGCACTGTTGTGTCCTGACTTAACAAGGCTAGGCCAATGAATAAAATTACAGAATTACTGTTTTCCTCACTTGAATCTTGTGAAAATCTAGTAACATCAACATTTCCTTCTCTTCTGATTGGAACTGGCTATACTGGATTTTTAAAAACTTTGTCTCCCTTATTAATCTCATTAAGTGTATATTTAAAATATGAGGAATTCTGTTCGTGATAATCGAGAATGTACTGTGTTTCCCCAAAAATAAGACAGAGTCTTATATTAATTTTTGCTCCAAAAATGCATTAGGGCTTATTTTCAGGGGATGTTTTATTTTTTTTTCATGTACAACAATCTACATTTATTCAAATACAGTCATGTCATCTTCTGGTTGCTGCACAATGGTGGAGGGCATGGTTTCACTTAACTGGGACTTATTTTTGGGATAGGGCTTATTATCATCCTGAAAGATCATCCTAGGGCTTATTTTCAGGTTAGGTCTTATTTTCAGGGAAACAGGGTAATAAATCTGGAATATTCCAGCACAGGTTTGCAATGGAAGGGGAGGTAAGGAGCAAAGGCTGGCAGGGTCTCTGGGGCTGAAATCATGAAGAAGATGCAACTCTAAGTGGCAAGTCCATTGAGTCACTGGAACCAGCCAGATTCCCACTGATTCAATGGGTCTACTTTAGTTGTAGCATAATACGGATTTCAGCCAGAGTGAGGGAGAGCTTCTACGGACTCAGATTTATTTATTTACTAATCTGTCCGTCTTCCTGTAGACAGGCACAAGACTGCTTTGTTTCTCAACCTACATCTGATGTTACAATGCAACTGATTTTTTTCAGGTTCATATCTCTTTTTTGCCTGTTTTTAACTGTAACTGCTATTCTATTTCTCTCTTGATCTGTATTCGTTAAAAAAAACACCACTTCTCAAAATGGATATAAATGGACATTGGTTCTTGGGATGAGACTTGTAGAGATTTGGAATCGTGGGGATCGCGATATTCGAGTATATTCATTTGCCTGAACAGTGCAGATTAGATTCTTGTATACAGGAGTTTGTAAAAATCAACTTCCTCAAGCAACTGTAGCTCATACCACTGTAAATTGTAAAAATTAGTTTTTTTCTGCAACTTTGAAGAACAGAAACTTTAAATTGAAAAAAGTAAGTTGAAAAACTGAGACCTGAGATACTTACCCAGCAAATACATTTTATAGTTCAAACATGGGGAATATTTGTGTGTCTGGCCTATTCTTTTTGTAAGCTACAGCCTTCTTTCTGAACAAACTAAACTGTGTTTATAGAGGGACCCCAGTTTTCAAAAAATGTTTCAAAATGAGATATTAAAATTGATATATTAATTATGATAAAATCCTTTTTTTGTTAGAAGCTTTTTGAGTTGTTTTGCACCAAACACAAAGATAGAAAATTCTGATAGAGAAACATGCTTAGCAGTTTACAATAGTGCATTGTCATGTTGTGATTTAATTTGCCTGGCTGCATTTTTCTCCATTGTCTAAAACTCAGCTTTTGTTTTGGATGATAGAAGAAAAGAAAATTAGCTGCTGTGTCAGAACCAGCTACCACAGATGAAGACAGTGCTGAAGTAGATGATACAGAAAATATCAAAAAAAGAAGACCTGTCTCACCTAGTAAGTTAAACTCTCCTCTTAATATTTGTCAGAGCTATTAAGATTTTGAGTTCTGCAACACGTGATGACTTTATTGGGTAGCCTCATCAAAATAAAATTGTTAGGTATCTGATGGCGGCAAATATGAAATGCCTCTGTTGTCCCTAATGGAAGACTGGTGCTAAGTTAGTTCATCAATTATGTTGGTTGTTTCCTCACCATTTTCTCACCATTTATTTACCTCTCTGTTCTCATTTGTATGCTCCCCATTTTGTTCAATTCACTTTCAGGAAGTACTGATTCCCCAGAAGTGATTTGTCGTGACAGGTTGCAGCCAGAGGCTAGTAGCAGCTGCCATTGCCACCACCATTTACAACAGTGAGTGGAGCTACTTTAAGACAAGGGAGTAGACTGAAAAATAGTCATAATCTTGGCTTGATTAGTAGATTAGGTTCCTCTATTGCAGTGGTTCCCAAACTTGGGTAACCACATTGTTCTTGGACTGCAGTTCCCAGAAACTCAGGCCACTACCGCTGGTGATGAAGGTTCCTGGGAGTTGCAGTCCAAGAACACTTGTGTTGCCCAAGGTTAGAAACCATGGCTCTATTGAGCACAAGAGGTAGAGTCAAATATTAACTTTCCTGGGCTCTGCTTACAATCAGCAGATGCTCATCAGTTGAACTTCTGCTTACAATTTGCAGATGCTCATCAGTTGAAGCCAGACTTCCCTGCCCTGCTACTAAAGAGCTTCTTAGTAAGAAATACCAGGGATTTGAGTTTGGAGCTCAGTAATCTATCCCTGAGATTGCTATGATGCAGATCGATATGGCACCCAGTGAGAGTTAACTTGGTTTGGCCAAGTTTTAAAAAAATGTAGTGTAGAATTGGATTTCATCCCTCCCCCACACCTCCTGAATGGCCCTGAAATCATGATGCCTTGTGTTCTAAGGTGTTCTTAAGGTGATGATGCTCCCGGGGCATCTTGAGGCAGTGAGGAGGACACTGCTTGTACATGGGGGAAACTCGTGTGTTAGTGCTCACGTTGAAATAAAAAGTAGCCGTGTGGTCAATACAAAACAAAATACAAGTGCAAGAATAGGCTATACCTTTATAGACCACTAAAATCATCATACAGTATGTGAGCTTTCATGGATGAACCCCACTTTACCAGACTTGTTCCAGTACGAAGAACTTAAAATTCCAAAAGTTCATAGCAAGATGAATTTTCCCAGAAAAGTCACTCTTAAATATAAAGTCCAGAAATTCTTGGCAAGATGGATTTTGCCAGGCACATCTTTCTTAGATGTAAGTCAGGAGTGGTGCAGGAAGCAGTATGCTTGCTGTTCTAAAGTTACAGCTGAGGCAGTTGTGGATTGGATATCATGTCCCAGTTCTTCAAACAAAGAAGCATAAGCCATGCGTTGCACACACCTCCCCCATTTGGCCTTTCTTTGAAACAGACATGTTTCTGCTTGGCCAGCGAGAGGGGATGTGGCGCAGACAACCCAAATGGGGGCCATTTTTTGTAGAGATCTCTTACCTTGCACTTGCGTCTTAGGTTCTCAGGTGGATTATTGGTGCCAGCCAGGGTTTGTCTTTTGCCCCATAACTGAATTGCTATACCAGGAGAGTATTTGTGTTGGATTGCGGTTGTAGAGGAGGGTTGGCCTTCACCTCCCAGTATACTGTGGCTTCCCTTCCATCTGTTCCCATGTGGCAGAAAAATAAACCAGCCTTTTCCATTGGTGCCAGTGAAAGTTTTTCTCCCCATGCAAAGGAAACAAAGGATGGAATTATGGGGAAAATACACTGAAATTATGCAATTACACAGTGTTTAAATAGGTTGGGTAGAACGGCCTTTTCCACATGCCCAAGTGTGTGTTAGATCTGTGGGTGGATCCTGTGCCTTCTTTTGATCTTTGATCTTCCTTGTGTTGTGGTACACAAGGAGGTGGTACATGGGGTAAGGCTTTCTAGTCTGCCCTTGTTTCTTTTCCTGTTGTGTTTGTGCCAGGGTTTGGGGAAGGTCGTAAGCCTTCACCCCATAGAGACAACCTAAGAGGTTGCAAAATGGAAATAACGGAACCACTCTTCTGCCTACATACCTGCTTAAATTTTGAAACAATCTATTTGAGAATTGGGAGATTAATTTGGGGTCTAGCTCTCTGATTGTTTTTGGCTTGCTTTTGAAGAGCACTTTGCTGAATTTTTGAATTGTTGTTGTTGTTGTTGTTGTTGTTATTATTATTATTATTATTTGTCTTTTGCCCCATAACCGAATTGCTATACCAGGAGAGTATTTGTGTTGGATTGCGGTTGTAGAGGAGGGTTGGCCTTCACCTCCCAGTATACTGTGGCTTCCCTTCCATCTGTTCCCATGTGGCAGAAAAATAAACCAGCCTTTTCCATTGGTGCCAGTGAAAGTTTTTCTCCCCATGCAAAGGAAACAAAGGATGGAATTATGGGGAAAATACACTGAAATTATGCAATTACACAGTGTTTAAATAGGTTGGGTAGAACGGCCTTTTCCACATGCCCAAGTGTGTGTTAGATCTGTGGGTGGATCCTGTGCCTTCTTTTGATCTTTGATCTTCCTTGTGTTGTGGTACACAAGGAGGTGGTACATGGGGTAAGGCTTTCTAGTCTGCCCTTGTTTCTTTTCCTGTTGTGTTTGTGCCAGGGTTTGGGGAAGGTCGTAAGCCTTCACCCCATAGAGACAACCTAAGAGGTTGCAAAATGGAAATAACGGAACCACTCTTCTGCCTACATACCTGCTTAAATTTTGAAACAATCTATTTGAGAATTGGGAGATTAATTTGGGGTCTAGCTCTCTGATTGTTTTTGGCTTGCTTTTGAAGAGCACTTTGCTGAATTTTTGAATTATTATTATTGTTGTTATTATTATTATTATTTACATGGAAATTTGCTACATCACATTCTCCCTGAATATGGGGTCTGGATTTAATCCTGAGCCTGGATGACTAGGCTTCAGCTCTGGCTAGGAGTGCATTTGCACAGATAATGTTAATGTGCCAGCTGCACTTGTTTCCAGCAATGTTTGAACTGACCACAGTGACTTATGCCTCAGTTACATTCCACCTGGATTGCTAAATCAGGCTGTACATGGAGCTACTTTTGGAAAGTGTTTGGGAACTTAGGCCGGTCTCAAATGTTGCAGCAAAACTGATAAGTGGTGGGGTCATGTCCAGGAAGGATATCCATCTTCTTTGATCACAACCTCTTGGGCTACCGGTCAGCTTCTGGTCCAAACTCAAAATGCTTATTATGGCCTATAAAGCCCTATTCAACTTGGATCCAGGCAATCTGAAGAAATGTATCTCCCCATATGAGCCACCCCAGCTTTTACAACCTTTAATTAGAGACATGGGCACAAACCATGGTTTGGCACGATCCAGCTGCACAGCTGTCTCTGTCCATTCCGGCTTCCCTTTCACCACATCCTTGGGTGGGCACCCACTCAGAGACAAGGCCTGAATAAGGCCAGGCTGGGAAACTGCACCACTGCGGAGACAGGCCAAGGGAAGCTGAGTCGCCTTTGGAACAGCTGTGCGGCCAAACTATGCCGAAGCATCAAACTGCGGTTCATGCTATCTCTACCTTTAATAAAATACCTTTTGGTTCTACTAGCCTCACAGACACATTTAGTGATGATACAAGATAGAGGACTTCTTTGTTGCTCTCAAGTTATGGAATGTTCTTCCTTGAGATGCCCAGTTGACCCACTCCATGCTGTCTTTCAGGCAGCTGGCAAAAACCTTCATTGTCAGGTGGGCTTTTAACCACTGAAATGGGCAACTGAGTATTATTGATGGAATGCTGCACATTTTTACTGCTTCTCTGTTGTGTGTTTATTTATAAAATGTTTTCCAAATACATTTTTCCTGCATTGTTATGTGCTTAATTACTTGAAATGTTGCAGTTTGTAGATCAGAATCCTTTTGGATACTTGTATGTGCACAAGAATCACAGAAGTTGCTGCAGCTAATTGATGAGGTGCTGGGGCCGTGTTAATTGCATGCCCAGTTGCTTGCTCAATCATGCATCTAGACTGGCACTGCCCTGGCACTTTTTCGGTTAGTTACAATTAGCCATGGCAACATCTGTGACTCCTCTTTTATACATGTAAATATCCAATATCATTTTGGCTGTTGTGTTTTCAGTTATGTGTTGTATCTGTTTTTATAGTTCATTTGTGAACTATACCTGAAGAAATAGAGGGAGGGAGGTGAAAGAAAGAAAGAGAGAGAGAAAGAAAGAAAGAAAGAGCAGAGTTGTGGCTATCTTGATTTAATAAAATGAAAAACTGCCTTTCATAATGATATCAGAGTTATATCGTTGAACTATTTTGCTGCTTCCTACAACTAAGCAGGTGGGCAGGAAAATTCACTACTTCCTACAATTAAGGAGGCAGGAAAATAATTATTTTCTGATTTTTACCCAAATTTATGTCAAGGATTAAAATAACAGTTTCATCAGGAAGCAAATAGCTTAAATTAAGTGCACTCCATAAATATTTAAATGTTCAATTTCCAGCTGCCCTTTTTGTATCAGTTAACTGAGTTGCGTTCCAAAGTGTGTGTGGTTACCAACAGATCATCCAATTTCCCATAATTTTTTTCTTGATCTCTTAACAGCGAAGGTTTAGAATTTTTATTATTTAGAGTTCATAATCTTTTTCCCAGTCTGTAACACTGGAACATAACTGTATTAAAATTTTTCTGCCATTTCGTTAGCCATGTCTTCATGCTGTGAAGTCCTCTGATTTTTTTTTAACGTTTTACTTCAGGATCAAACATCAGTTGCCAAGTGTAGGTTTTTTTAATTTCAGAATCATAAATCTTGCAAAATGCAGTAAGATTCAATACAGACATTTTGGCTATACATCTGTTTTTTTGTGTCACTATAAAAATATCTAGTGTGATGCAGTGATAGACTAGGATTCTGGAGAACAGGGTTCGAATCCCGACCACAGAAATGCACTGGGGGAGTGGAACCAGTAA